CAGAAGGATGGGTACAATGGATGACAGCTGGATCTGGGTTTGTACACTCTGAAATGCCAAGCGAGGACATTATGAAAAATGGAGGAAAAGTTGAAGGTTTTCAATTATGGGTTAACCTCCGAGCGGACGACAAGATGATACGACCTCGTTATCAAGACACGCCCCCAGAAAAGATACCAGTTAAGACCACGGCTGATGGCAAAGTGAAGGTCAAAGTGATAGCTGGGAAAAGTCTCGGAACCAATGCCGAAATTGAGACCCGGACCCCCATAATGTACCTTGACATTCATCTCAAGGAGGGAGCCAGTTTCACTCAAAGTGTCCCGAAAGAGTACAAAGGTATACTGTACGTCTGGAGGGGATCAGGTTATCTTGGTGAGGGCACAGAGAAGAACGTGAAAATGGGTCAAATGGGAGTGATGGGTGAAGGAGACAGTGTAACAATGACAGCAGCAGATGATGAGGAGATGCGGGTATTGCTAATAGCTGGGGAGCCATTGAATGAGAATGTTGTTCGTTCAGGACCTTTTGTGATGAATACGTGGGCGGAGATACAGAAGGCTTATAGTGACTATCAGTCTGGGACATTGGGGCAGATTGAGGGGGCGGAGGAGAGATATGCTGCTACTGAAGCTGCTAAGAAGAGACAGAAAGAGTCAGGAAGATGGCAAGGAGATTTATAACTGTGGTAATGACAATAATACTATAATCCTTTATTATAAATATTACTGTCTGTTAAGTAACAGAGATCATTTTAAAATTTCTATTTTTCATAAAAAACACTTTTAGTATTTCTTTTTAATTCTGTTGACTATACAATCTGTATTGTTCTATCAATTATAATCATTATTGATAATGATATTCAGTGTTATTGGTGTGTTCCAGTAACTATTTTCATGAGGTGCTAGGTCTATATACCACACACACACTAATACACCTTTATACTGGTGGTACACTATATACCACACACATACACTTATACTGGTGGCCTTGCTCTGGCCTGCTACTGCAAAAGCTTGTTCTTTTGTCCAGCTTTCAGAGGCTACTAACTAAATTATCTTTTCTTCTTGCTTTTATAAAATCCTTTCTTTATTGTGGTGTAAGTGACCACTTACTGAAATAGCTACACCTTAAGTTACTTAATTCTCTCATTGTTCTTAATACTATAGTGCAAGATGATTGATGTCTCTCAATGGAGAGCAAGTATTGGACTGTGGAACTACTGTCAAGCTGCCTCCAGTAGACCAGCTAATGGCCGCCACTCTCACTCATTCAAAGCTGCAGTTGACAGCAAGTCAGGCAGTACTACATCAGGAGAGAAGACATCTAAACTACCAGCAGCTCTGTCTCTTATTGCTTTACTCCTCCTCCTCTTTCAATCTCTCTCTTTATTAAGACACATCTATATGATTCCTCCAACAGGTAAACAACAATTGCAACTTTGTACTTGTATATTTACTGGTATTTTATTATTAGGTAACTGCTACCAAGTACAATGTACTACAGGTGTTACTGTTACTGATACAAATTACCTCCAGTCAGTAGTCTTACCTGGAGGCAGCAGTTCTAACCTGATTTACAATGATCTCTATTTGATTGTTTGTCTACATATGCTCCTCCTCTTATCAGGAGATGTTGAACTCAATCCTGGTCCTATGATTGATGATCGACCAACAGTATTACTTCTAATTCAATGGCTTGACCCACTTGTTGATTGGCAGTCATTTGGTTGTTGCTTACCAGGAATAACACAGCAGGATGTATCAAAAATTGAAATTGATTACTTCGAGGAGAACAATCGAAAGAGGGAGTTATATTCAAAATGGCTTGATGTTTATTCTGAGGCAAAATGGAGTGACGTCATTACTGCATTGACAACTATAAAAGAAAACACACTTGTACAAAATATCATTGATGGATGTCCTATAGTATCTAATGATGGTAATGCAGCTACTGTGAGTACAACCGAAAAACAAGAAATAACATTTGACACAGAGGAAGATGAAGAGGAAGTTTCACATTCATTGTTAGAGCTCAAAAAATCATTTACTAATCTTGTCATAGAAGTACAAACAGCATTTGATGAAAAAAAATCCTCGAATCCTAAGCTGCTCATTGATATAACAAGATGGATTGAGGCATACATGAACTGGAATGACAGGCTAACAAATGCATCATTAAATGAAACTTTTAAAATTATTCAACCATACTATGACTTTATTGACTGCAACTTGATAGTAGATTTAAGTGAAAAGTTTCTAAATGGTGTCACTTTTGGTGAAAAGAAGCTGAATATTGTGAGTGAACTACAGAATCACAAGAAAAAAGCAGACAAATTTAGGTCTTCAAGTAATGTCACACATCTTCACTGGTCATTAAAGCGACTATACCAGAATCATATACCAGATCTAACTAGAATGCCTCATATTATTATAAAACTTAATAATCCATGGTATGCTAGCAATCTAAGCAATCTAACTCTTCTAATTCAACATTTGCTTCCAGTGAAATTTGTACAATCGTTGTTAAAATATATAACAATTATTAGGGGATCAGTAGTTATTAAATACAGGGTGCTTGATTCTACAGCTGATAGTCTAATAGAATATACTGGAGGAAAGTTACAGTTTATGCGTCTCATTGGTATATTTAGTTTATACATTAATGATCATCCTGTGCTTCAAGAAGATGAGAATATGAAGTTCACCTTTGAACTAGCTCTTCTTGAGGCAGTCGCAGCTGGTAATAATGAAGCAGTAGAGTTTCTTCTTCAACTTGGTATCGGTAATACTAATGAAGTAAATTGGACAGCACTAATTTTAGCTTGTAAAAGAGGACATGAGGACATTGTACACAGTTTACTGTCTGCTGGAGCTAATGTTAACATTCAGGACAATAAAGGATGGACTGCACTAATGATAGCAAGTGAACACAATCACATTTCAATCATTCACATGTTACTACAAGCTAATGCTAATCCTCACCTGAAGACATCAGATGGATCAAATGCTGTAATGATTGCTAGTTACCATGGTAGCCATAAAGTCGTTGAGCTATTGATTAGTAAAGGGGTTGATTATAAATATCAACGAAGAGATGGAATGAATGCTTTTATGTTTGCTTGTCAAAATGGTCACATTCAAATAGTTGAACTGTTGCTGAATGAACAAGTTGATATTAATGTTCAAAAGGAAGATGGAATGAATGCTTTTATGTTTGCTTGTCAAAACGGTCACATTCAAATAGTTGAACTGTTGCTGAATGAACAAATTGATCCTAATGTTCAAAAGGAAGATGGAATGGATGCTTTTATGTTTGCTTGTCAAAATGGTCACATTCAAATAGTGGAACTGTTGCTGAATGAACAAGTTAATCCCAATGCTCAAAAGAAAGATGGTTGGACTGCTTTTATGTTTGCTTGTCAAAATGGTCACACTAAGATAGTTGAACTGTTGCTGAAGGAACAAGTTGATTCTAATGTTCAAAACAAAGATGGAGCGAATGCTTTTATGATGGCTTGTCAAAATGGTTACACTAAAATAGTTGAACTGTTGCTGAAAGGACAAGTTGATCCTAATGTTCAAGAAAAAGATGGTTGGAATGCTTTTATGTTGGCTTGTCAAAATAGTCACACTCAAATAGTTGAACTGTTGCTGAAGGAACAAGTTGATCCTAATGTTCAAAGGAATGATGGAGGAAATGCTTTTATGTTGGCTTGTCTAAATGGTCACACTAAAATAGTTGAACTGTTGCTGAAGAAACAAGTTGATCCTAATGTTCAAAAAAAAGATGGTTGGAATGCTTTTATGTTGGCTTGTCAAGATGGTCACACTCAAATAGTTGAACTGTTGCTGAAGGAACAAGTTGATCCTAATGTTCAAGAGAAAGATGGTTGGAATGCTTTTATGTTGTCTTGTCAAAATGGTCACACTCAAACAGTTGAACTGTTGCTGAAGGAACAAGTTGATCTTAATGTTCAAGAGAAAGATGGTTGGAATGCTTTTATGTTGTCTTGTCAAAATGGTCACACTCAAACAGTTGAACTATTGCTGAAGGAACAAGTTGATCCTAATTTTCAAGACAGAAAGGGTCATACAGCTTTAATAATTGCCAGTGCTCATGGACACCATGAAGTAGTTAAGTTATTATTAGATTGGAAAGCTGATCCTACTATTAAATCTAGCGGAGGCCACACTGCATTAGCAGTAGCCAAAACTGATGAAACAAAGACGTTGCTTAAAAATTGCTTTAAAAAGGGAAATTTCAAGGAAGATGATGGTATAAGTGTAAGTTCATTTGCATCTCAACAAACAATATCCAGTGGACATCATACAGTATCAGACATTATTAGTATGAGAAGTTTCCCTTCTACTTTAACTTTAGATTCAGGAATAGAGGACTTGACAGATAAGAAGTGATGTTGAAGCAGATATTTTACTATGTGATTTTAGTGCAATGAGATTAGTATAAGCTACAAAAATGTAGATAATATTAATGTTTTTAATTACATGCAATTTATTTTTTGCTGCTTGTAATAATTTTTTTTTTGAACATAAAGGAACCTTATTTCCTTTTGTCTTTCCTCTTTTTTTCAGCTAAGCCCAGGATGTAAGCAAAGCTGTTTTAAATAG